CACCAAGGAAAGTCAAGTAAAAGCATTTTCAAAGTTATGAATCCTGAAGAATAGAAGAGAGCTGTCACTCTTCTGAACTCTAAAATGATGTTACTAATGAACTGGTTTTCAACCTGGGACCATTTTATCACTGAGGGCATATTGGGTAATTCCTAGAGACATTTCTGGCTATCATAGCTTGGAGGGGAGGTGGAGTGAGGAGCAGATTGATAACAATTATATAGTAAGTACTGCCCAAGAATGCTTTTAAAAAAAATCCAACAATGTATAAGACAGACACAGGTAACAAAAGATTACCTGGTCCAAGAAGACATGAGAGTTGATGGAGGATGAAAGGATAAGCTGGAAACTAAGGTTGAGGTGGGTGAGTGGACATGGCAAAAAGCACCAAGCCCAGCTTACACACAGAGCCTCTGGAAAGATCAGCAAGTGGAGCTGATCAACCTCCAAAGGTTAGGGGAGGGCACAAGTGAAAAGGAAGTGATCCATTCCCAAGATTCTTCTCTCAAGCCCCCAGCTCCTCAGCTGCCTTCCTGCACCTGTCCATCTGAACCAGCAGGGCCTGGGGAAACCAGGTACAGCTGAGGATTGTTTAAAAGGCACCAGCTGCTCTGGAGGCTGACCTGGGAGGGTTGCTGGTATCCACTGACAAGCCTGGACACTGAAAGGAGAGCACGAAGAGGAGGAAAAAGAATTGGAATTAATTTTTAAATCTGGAAATAAAAGTCTCACAGATGAGGTTTAAAAAAAAAGAAGAAGAACAGTAAGAGATGGCCAAAGTAGGAAATTTGAAAGAAAAATTGTTGAAGAAAGTAGAGAACAGTCTAAAAGAGAAATGTGGAAAACAGGAGAGAAAATGAGCATTAGAGGATCAATACAGGAGGTTTAAATCCTACCTGCCACAGAAAAGAGAATTGAATATTAAAAAAAAAAATGATGTGAGAACACTTGCAAGCTGTAAGAATGTGCATTTCCATAGCAGATAAGATGGATGATCAGTGACCAGGACAACAGTTGGAAACAGACCCATTGTTCAATTTCAGAATATCAGAAGCTAATAGGTCATAAAAAATAATAATAGGGGTTGGGGATTTAGCTCAGTGGTAGAGCACTTGCCTAGCAAGCACAAGGCCCTGGGTTCGGTCCTCAGCTCCGGAAAATAAAAAAAAAATAATAATAATAGGGATCAAATTGGCCAAACCTCCTAATCTACAAGAGTAAAAAGAAGCCAGTGAACATGCCTTCACATTTTTGAAAGGAGAGTGATTTGAAAACTAGAATTCCCCATTCGTGCTATCCAATCACGCAAGTTCAAAACTATTGCCTCCAGCAACAAACACACTCTCTCAGGACACTGCTGGAGAATGCACTCACAGAATGAGGGAATATAACCAAGAAAGAGGAAGATGCTAAACCTAAGATCTCATATAAGACAAGTTGTACAAGAGAAGAAAGGAACCACAATTTAACAGCTAAAGATAGAGGAAGAACAGGAGAAGAGAAATAGATAAATGAGAGACAGTATTTTGTATGTATCGGGGTTTCTGGGAAGGGGTATCAAATTCTTATCTCACATAAGAAAATCAACAAACAGGTGATACATGAAACAAAAGCATCTTGAGATGTAGCAACAGAGACATGTTAAAAATATAATGGGAGCTGGAGAGATGGTTCAGTGGTTAAGAACACTGGCTGCTATTCCAAAGGGCGGAAGATTTGGTTCCCAGCATCCATATGGTGGCTCACAACTGCCTGTGATTTCACTTGCAAGACATCTGATGCCCTCTTATGGCCTCCTTTGGCACCCTTAGTGATGTGGGATATACTCATACAGTAACACAAATGTACACATAAATAAAATCAAATCTTTAAAATGATGGAAAATACAACTGTTAAAAACTTGGAAGTAGCTACTTCTGTGGAGTAAATATGGAATACTTGAGATTACAAGCCTTTATCAACTACTATGTGGTACCATATGATTTCTAAAATATTTGTACTATTAAACAAAAATATTAAGGTTGGTAGTGTGGCTCTGTGGTACAGTGTTTGCCTAGCAGCTGTAAAGGTCTTTAAGTGATGGGACCACAGACATACACACACACACATCAAACAGGACAAAATAGATAGATGTGAACAACTTTTAGGATAATTCAAACCAGCATCACTTTATATTTAAAAACAAAAGGAGTCTAGCCAGGTGGTGGTGGTATACATCTTTAATCTCAGTACTCGGGAGGCAGAGACAGGTGGATCTCTGTGAGTTCAATGCCAGCCTGGTCTACAAAGTGAGTTCCAGGACAGTCAGAGCTGTTACACAGAGAAACACTGTATCAAACAACAACAACAACAACAAAAATCTCCTGCACTCACAGATTGTCAGTCATAGTCATCCTGTAAAGTTACAGAAAAAGTTCTGGGGAAAGAGTCATCAAACACTGGAGGGAGCACAGCATTAAGGTTGGGGAAGGGATGGTGATAATCATATTCATTTTTAATATGTACCTCTGTGTTGATTTTTTGTGATAGATTTTGAATAAATGAAGAAGCAGTTATGGAAGTATGCATTTAGTATGGTCCCCCATTGTATGTTATTAAATTGTACCTTCTAATGTTAGGTGTAAAAAAAATAAATCAAAGGAATATTTTTTTGTCTCAAGTATTACTCAACTCCCAATTTAAGCAGTGATAAATTAACCAGATCTAAATAATAGAGAGGCAGGTACCCAGCACTCTGGTCAGCCAGCCATATATAGCCCTAGGGCTCCACGAGCATCCTCAGAGCTCTGGACAGCATTGTCTGAAGGCTACAAAGAAAGGAAGTTTGCTTGAGAACCACATCCTGGAAAAGAGCCAGACTGAGCACTCTTCTTTTATATCACAAGCACACACAATCACACACATAAACACTCATGCACAGACACAGACATAAACCTTCTCTCTCTCTCTCTCTCTCTCTCTCTCTATATATATATATATATATATATATATATACATATATACGTATATATGTATATATATATACATATATATACACACACACACACACACACACTTATTTATTTATTTATTTGGTTTTATGAGACAGGGTTTCTCTGTGTAGGTTTGTGCCTTTCCTGGAACTCACTCTATAGCCCAGGCTGGCTTCGAACTCACAGAGATCCATCTGGCTCTGCCTCCCGAGTGCTGGGATGAAAGGCGTGCGCCACCACCTCCTGGCTTAAACCTTTTCTATAAACAAGAACCTTGAACATGCCAATAGAACAAATGGAAAACTGATGTGTGGACAGAGGTGAGAGTGGAGACAGCAACGTATTTATCTTCCCAAGTTATTCTCCATCCACATTATGTTTATCTTAACCAGCCACATTTTGCTAAAAGAAAAAAAAAATTCAGTTTCCAAATTTATTAGAGATGTTTATGTATCTTTTTAAGTTTTTAATATACATTTTGATTAAAATATAATTCCATGATTTTCCTCCCTCCAGTCTCTCCCAATTCCCCTCCCTCCAATTTATCTTTTCAAGTTCTTAAGAAGTCTTAATTTGCAATATTATTTTAATAAATTAAATTATTTTTTCTAGTTTTGGTTTATTTGTTGTTACTCTTTTTCTAATCGCTTGAACTGACGTTTTATGGGGCTTTAGAGAAAGCCTAGGTCCTTGCACATATTGAGTAAGTGCTGTGCACTGAACTATATGCCCAGTACTTTAATTTCTTGAATTCAAACTCAACTTCATTGTTCTTACAAAAGCATTCAAGGCTAGGAATTTTCCTCTTTGGAGTGTGTTTGGCCATATCATTTTAAACGGAAAGGAATTTTGGCACCTGCTACAATACAGATAAACTTTAAAGGTGTTATGTTAAGTGGAATAAGCCAGACACAAAAGGACAAAAAGTATACAGAGGTAGTGGCGTGTAGAGGTAGTGGCCTTTAATCCCAGCACTCAGGAGGCACAGGCAGGTGCATCTCTGAATTAGAGGCCAGCATGGGCTGCAGAGAGAGTTCTAGGACAGCCAGAGTTACACAGAGAAACCCTGTCTCAAAAACCAACCAACCAACAAACAAACAAACAAAACCAACAGTATATCATTCTACTGATATGTGGTGCTTGCAAGTAGGCAGAAATCACAGTTAGAATAATGGTTTACATGCACTAATGGTTATTGGTTGCTGGGTCCACAGCTACAATTTTACAAGATGAAAAATTCTGGAGACCAACAGAATGTGAACTAATGAACTGTATCCTCTGAAGTGGATAAAAGAGTCAATTTCATGCTACTTATATTTTACCCAGTACCTTGCTGGTGGCTACTTTAGGCTTTATTCTACATTGTACGATTTATAATCACAGTAAAATATTTTGCAGATGTGCCCCAAGGTAGAGAGGTCACTCAGCTTGTTTGGGGGCAAAGATGAACCTACAGATCTGTCACTTTAGCTCACTGCCTCTCGGCCCTTAGAAGATGAGGTTGGGTGTCCTCCTACTTCACTTACTATAAAGTGAAGTGCTTTCTGAGAAGTGAACACATAAGTATGTGTACTTACATACACCTGCCCTAATAAACATTTACATGGGAATTTCTTTGCTGAGAACATCTCATCTTGTAAGAGAAAGGAGAATCTGAGTCTCCATTGTGAAAGAACACCTGAGTTTCCTCAAAAGGAGTATTATGCAATGATTCTTAACAATGAAAACGCTAAGACGCTCTTCTAATAGGTGATTTTTAGCTGTATAAAAATATAAAAATGCCCTAAAAAGACTGGAAAGATTGGAATCAACCATTAATAAGTGATTACTCTTGAGAAATATGAAGAACATCTCTTCTTGTGTCTGTACTCTGTAGATATTTTCAATTTGCTTTTGCTATTTATAATCCATTGTTCTTTTTATATTTCTTTTAGTGATGTACTATAATCATATTTGAAAACATCTTCTTTTGTTTTAAAACATAAGCAGTAAACAAATAAATGTAATGCTCCCTTTCCAAGTACTCACATTCTCAGGGATGCTGGGAAGCTCTCTGGTATCAGGCACAGTGAAGTAAGAATGCTGGAAAAGAAAAAAAACACAAGCTGCATATTCTTTCAAGATGAGCTAACTAGCATTTGATTTCAAATTTAGGTAAATGTTGTGAAGCATCTTCCTTACTCAGATGAGGAAGCTGTGTTTTCTTGTAGTAAATATCCACATTATAGCTGCTTAAGCTAATGTTGTACCACACTAGGAGCATTAACTCATCAGCACAAGAGATGAATGTCTTTGGTGGACATGAATGAAAAACTCAAAGAAGCTGAAGTCTAAATTCCCATGTGATATTTGTAGATTTCTGAACACAAAGAAGTGGACAGTTTTGTAATTTATTGGTCAATAGGGCAATGGACTCTTAGAAACCAAATGACATTAGATTCACTCACTAAGTAACAGGATGTCCCCACCAATCCTGTAATTCTATTTCAGCATCTGAGGTCATATCAATCAATACTGTAGTCAAAATCTGCTCATATGATGCTCAGGACAGTCCCAGCCAAAGGCCACTCCATCTGAGATGGATACAGATGGCTGCCAACGGAGGATGAGCTCTTCACTTACAGTGTGATTGTCATGGAAGAGAGCTGGAGTGGGTGACGAAGACTTCAAAGATATGTAATGAAGCATCTCCATGTTTGTAATAAGCCTGTATCTATTTCTAAGTTAAATGAAAACTGGCTGGTCTAATGCCACTTCTGCTGTTGATTTTAAAGGCTCAGAAGATAATGGTAAGTGGTACGGGAAGGAGCCTCATGCTAGACAATTAAAGATGGATTGTGAAAGGCCAGGAAAGCAAGGTTCAGCTCAGCCATGGCCTGAGCTCAGATCTTCACCTCTCCCCTAACCCTTAGCTCCTAGGTAATGGGAGAGTAAGTAGGTTTCTAGAAAAATGAATTGTATAGTCTTTCTAGAATAAAGGGTCCTGGAGACAAGCTGTTATGAATGATGGCAACAATAAGCTGCTTGTCTGACACTCAAAAGAAATTTACTGAATATCTGCTTATGGAAAACTTGACATTAAATACTTTATAAATATCACTTCTAATTTCCACAGTAAAATTTGAAGATAGATATTATCTCCTTATTAAAAACAGACCAACTAATGTTCAGAGAGGCAAACAGTCTAAGATGACTATATAGAGGAACTAGGTTGGACCCAGAGTGGGGTAACTAACCACACCCTGGCCCTTTCTGCCACATCACTCGTATGTCTGTGCTTTCATTCACAAACATAAAGGAGCTTGAGTAAGCACTCCATAGATGAGGCATTTAGCACACAACAAATGGTACTTTATTTACTTATTATTTTATTTATTTGGACATAGGGTTTTACTATGTAGCTCCAGCTGGTCTGAAACTTGCGATACAGACTAGACTGGTTTTGGCCTTGCACCGATTCTCCTGCCTCTGCTTCCAGAATGTTGGGATTACAGGCATGCACTACCACACCCAGCTCAATAAATGGATTTTAATACGCAAGTATTACTGTTCAAACTGCTAGTTTGCATTTCTATTTTTCTCAATCACCTATATTAGCTACACAGGAACATTCTCTTGTAAAAAGTAGTTAAACAAACAAAGGCCAGGCTTGGCATCTCACCAATATTTTAGGATTTCTATTACAAATGAGATGCTAGCCCTTCAAATAGAAATGCATTTTGGGAAGAAGACTATCTAGTGAAGAGGGGAATCGGCCTTTACAGATGCAATGGGTTGTGAAGAGTGAGCCGGCAGAACTCTAAACCAGCTAGTCCCCAGGCTGTCCTTGGAGATTCTGTCTTGCTCCATCGCCCATGAAATGCTGGGGACCAGGGGAGGTCAGAAACATTCCTAGAATCCACTGGAATGAAACAGCTGCACACCCAAAAGTTCCTCCTGTCTCCGAGCTGGCTTATCCTTGAGGCATGACAGCATGCTGCCTGTGCAGACATTTGGGTAAGGAGTGGCAGCTGGTGACCTGGCCAGGCTGCTCCACAACTACCTGTCGGATGTCATTACAGACTGAAGCAGTGAGGTCAAGCTGTTTAGGAAAAAAGACTGAGACAAAGGCAGGGCTGCTCTGCTTCAGTGATGACTGTGTCTAAAGCGCACTTGCTTTTCTGGCAGTCCCTACTCCCCACAAGCAAATCCTCCATAAGTAAATTCCTTCCCTCTTTCCTGCTTCCCACCTCCCTCCCTGTCTCTGTCCCTTCCTCCTTTTAGCTCAGCATTGCAAAAGCTGGGCCATCATTTCTAAACCACATGATTTTGCATGCATACCTTTCCCCCTCTAAATCTTTCTTCTATGGCATGGGAATGTTAACACCTACATTGTGAACAATTTTGAGCACCAGGTGTATATTTAGTATAAATTAGGAACATAAATAGATTTGTTATTGTTATCATTATTGACAATACTGTGGCTTTTGATAGCGTTCTGGTATAACCCATTAGTTTGCCTATAGAACCAGACACCTTCCTGATCCCTGAAACCAGCATTGTATCTGTTTCTTGAGAATCTGGAAGAGAAGACTCTCTAACCTACCAGGGCTGTGGGGTAGAGACAGGTCTGCATGACAGTGGGTGCCTGGCCAGAGGATGTCCACTACAGAATTCTGATAAAGAAAATGACAGCTTCCATCTAAAAGATCAAATAATTTAGTAACTGAATCATAGAAAAGATTCTATGCACTATCTGACAAACAAGGAAGCTGAGCCTTATGTATAGTTAGAAGTCATGATTTAAGTCACTTCAAGCACTAGTAAAAGAGACAACTGGAACAGAAATTTCCCATCAGTTGGCTCAGAGTTTACCTTGGCACACTGCACAATGTGCAGGATGTATCTCAAAGCACACAAAGAAACCATGACTGCTGTAGGCCAGGAATTATACTGAGGACTCTCGCTCTGTCTTCAACGGATGGAGACTGGAAACCAGCTTACTCCCACAGGATGGAACTAAGTCTCCAAGAGCATGCAAGGAAATTAGGGCCAAAGAGAAGGTCTAATTCAGCCTGTGAGGTCAGGGGAGGATTTCTCAGGAAGCAGAATCAGAATTGGTTTTGAAGGATGCACGAGTTAACAGGCAAATAGGAGAGAGGTAATGTTGAACACTAAGGGTCCAGAATGGGCTTTGACTGTGATACAGAGTAATATAGGTGGCCAAAGATGGGATGATGAGGCTAACAGCTCCAGCCATTCTATTCCGTGCATCTGTGACTAAGAATATGAGTGGTCATTTGGGAAGCATCTATTCTTCAGTGAATCTCAGAGAGAGGGATAATCCCACACCCCAGCCTGCCTTGAATCCATGGCTCACGCTAAGTAAGAGTGTGGCTCTGGCCTCTTCTGAAGGTCCATACAGACATTCTTGCTTAGGGTGGCCACCATTCTGCCCCACTTACCACGCTGAGATGAACAGACACTCCGGGGTCAGGGATGGGAAGTCGGTGCAGTGTTTCAAGAAGTTCATTCCACTGACTTTCCTGAAAAAAAGAAAAGGCCCAAGTAACAAAAGCTGGACCTGCAGTAAGGTCTAGGTGCAGAGAGAGACAGATATGAGACACTGGTCCCAAGACAGAAATATGTTTCATATTCAAGTAGGGCTGGATAAAGGACATTGCTTATGGCTCAAACACAAGAGCTAAACTGATCCTCCCACATCAAGTTTGACATTTTCTTTTCAGTCAGACACCTACCATGACCACCTTTTATGGATCATATACCATAAGCTCTCAGCACATCTATCCCTTCAACTCCATAGCAACAACTTCTAAAAGCAAACAATCTGAGCTTCCAGGGCGGGGGTGGTTGGGAGAAATAACAATGACACTGTGGATCTTGTCTTCATCATCATTACCCTCAATTAATTTTATTGAGTGTTCAGTGGGTACATGTAGCAGCCTCCAATTATGGAAAGTTAGAAATAAAGCAAGTTCACCAGCATGTGATACAGGACAGCAGTCCTGCATGTTAATTAGGGAAACTGAGCAGCTGAATAACAAACAAAGCAACACAAATTATTCGACTCAAAACAGATTCGCCTTTAAGATGCTCAAAACAACAGCACTCACAAAACGATTCAAACGCCACTTCTTTCCCATGGAATTCTGTGTGTTAATAAAAGAAAGTTAAGTTTACATGGGCAGCCATGTCCTAACTACTGGATCTTCTAGCCCAACCACTTGGGAAATGTGAAGGTCTGAAGAGGGAAGCACTAGTCTCATATTGGACAATAGGCTGCACAACCCAGGAGGAAGGCAGGATTGTTGTGTCCAAGTCTGCAGCCCTTTCTGCCTCTGGCAGGGAGCCTGAGATGAAAGGGATGAACTTAGTTTACAAGCTTGATTCAGTATGTACTCTGACAATCAAGTTTCTTAGAGGACATTCAAGCTTGAATGTGTGTGCACAGGGTTAGTTTTGCTTTGAAGCAGTCTCACACCTACAGAACAATTTTAGAAACAGTCAAAGGCCCCTTCACTTCCTTGACTGTTTGAGAATGAATTGTTGGCATTATACCTCATCATCTGCACACACACACACACACACACACACACACACACACACACACACACACACACACACATGCGCGCGCGCGCTTCTTCCAAACAACCTCGTTTAATCATCACAACCAGGAAATATGCCTCAGCACAGCACACCTAATCCTGTGCCTGCTGTGCTGCACATATCCTCATGGCAATAAAGTCAGTTGAGTGGCCTTCAGTAGAGCTGACTCTTGTGACTCCTTTTGTTGGAAAAATTCTTGTTTTTCCCAGATTTGTAGGACCTTGATCGCCCATTTTGCAGAATGAGTCTCAACTGTCAGATGCTTCCTTGTGAATCTCAGCTTGCCCTTTATTGAGGAAGTTTTCTTGCCTCTTGACTATTTCATCTCAGATCTCTATTGGGCAACCCCTCCCCCAACATTAAAAAAGCATTTTGTAGCATGACATTTTATGTAAGTATTTCATTCCTCAAGCTTTGAATCTAGCTGTTTATTATTTATCTTACTACAAGTGTATAGCTTTCATTTGCTGTCAGTATTTGTCTTGATGCTCCAGACTAAGGTAACTAGGAACCTATTGGCCCTTATCCTTAATTTTGTGTCTTAAGCACATGTCCCCATCATATTTTGAATACTTTAAATTGGGGCACAAAAGACATTTTTGCATCATCTTACAGTTTTCCTACATGAGTCCTGGAAGTGGTCCATTCTTTAGAAAGTGTGGGCTCCTTTCCTTGGGGAGTATCTGCAGTCAGGTCTGAGAGCATGTGTGCTTATGCTTGTTGTCTTTTGGGAATGCTGACACCAGGCCTTCAGTGGTCAGAGCCACCAAGTACCACATAGACAGGCCACCACATGCACTTCACATCTCAACTCACTTTTCTCTTCGCATACTTAAAGCCTTAGATTCACAAGGATGTCTCCAATTCCAGGCCAACACAGGAGTTACTCCTGTTCCTTCTCTTTGCATACCATGACTGCACTGCACAAAGGTAAAAAAGTCTCGCCCTATCTTGGGGCTAGGTCTTCCTATCTCATGCTCTGGCACCAAGCACTGAGCCACCACTGCTGGTTCCCTTCCTGTTTGGATCTCTGCAGATCCCCACTGAATTCCCACATCTCACATCACGTCTACTCCCACTTTCCCACATACACACTTCATCTCCTTTGGCTCCAACACCCAAGCAGGCTGTCACCCAGCTCAGGTTTCCTGTCATTCCTTTCATGCAGATCCCCTTTCTGTCCTATCCTGGATCTGACAACACTGGGGCCAGAACCCACACAGAAATCCCTACACCCCATCTTAGACTACAACATTTGGTGACTCTCACTGGTTACACACATACCTTCCCAAATAGAAGCTTGCCTCATCTGACAATCCCATAACTTCAGGATGGGAGACGGCTGTTTTTAGGGAACAAACATACTGGGGTTTTGTTTGGATCTTGGTTTCCATGTGTTTATGATGTATATAAGTGTTCTTGTGTTTGCATGTGACACCTCTGGCCAATGTCAGGCGTCTTCCTAGATTGGTCTACACTTTATTTTTTAAGACAAGGGCTCTCAGTAAACCCAGAGCTCATTTATTCAGCTAGGATTTTTGTCTAATGGGTTCCAGGGATCTGCCTGCCCCTCCTCCTGAGTGCTTGGATTAGATGCAACAGCTGCTATGCCTGTCTTCTATGTGGGTGCTGGAGATCCAAGTTAATGTCTTCATGCTTGCTGACCAGGGATACTGAAATCTCCCTTCCGTTCATCCTGTTCTGACTGAGTGGTCAACATCTATTCATCAAGCCATCATAGATAAGAGTCCTTACTCTGTTTTATCATAATTCCTTTGGTCAGAACAAACTCTGTAGGTATGTTGAGTCAGGAAAAATAGACTCCAGCCAACTAAGCCATATGAATGATCTCAGCTTCCCATACAGCATAAGGCAGGGGCCTCAATAAGCTCAGAGGACAAAAGCACTGGTCCCACAGGGTCATGCTCAGTTTATAGCACCCTCCTTTCCCAAGTTCTCCTTCCTTCCCTCCCTTCCTTCCTTCCCTTCTTCTTCCCTTCTTTTTTTTTTTTTTTTTTTTGGAAAACTGGGCTCTCTGATGGAGAAGTCCCACCATCAGGGAAGCTCAGTGTGTTTATTTTACACAGTTGAACAGGGAGGGGAGGTTATTGCACACAGCTGAACCAAGGGGACGGCGTATTGGTGTACAGCCCAGTCAAGGAGGTAAGTTTAGCATTTCTGTACAATAGCAGTCTTCAGGCCAAAATTATCTGGGAGGATAAAGCTATGCTGGGCGTTTTCTACACGCACTGTCAACATTTGCACTAGGACCAGGACGGAAGGCTTTGCCATTTACCATGGGCCCAAGGCATTGGGTCCTTGATATGGCCATGCCTGTGTCAACAACACACAATTCACTCAGGCTTTCGCACACCCAGAGCTTTCTCCACTCCCCACACAGAAGACAGGTATGACAGAGAGAACGGTGCAAAAAAGCATTCGGCATTAAAAAAATAAAAAGAAAAAGAAAGAAATATTAGGGAGTCACTTGCCCACAGAGAGAAAGAACTCCTGATCTTTAGCCTGCCCCTTGTAATCAATAATGGTCACATTTCAATCTCAAAAAAAAAAAAAAAAAAAAAAGCCAAGTTACATTGCAGTAACCAGACTTCATGGGAGAATCCATACCAGCCAGCCAGACCTCATCCAAGAATATAGAAAGCATTCAACATTGTGTAGAACCCTGTAACAATGCAGGATTTTTTTTTCTTTTGTTCTTTCTTCCCTCCTTTTTAACTTCTTTGAGATAAGGTCTCATGTAGCCCACACTGGCTTCAAACTCACTTAACCAGCAAGTGAGCCTCAAGCTGCCTAAATCTCTATTTGTAGTTAAGGATGGTTTTGAATTCCTGATCTCCTAGCTGCCTCTCGAATGCTAGGACTATGGGTATGAGCATTTTTAGATACATTTTAAAAAGAGTACTAGGTTGCACTGTTGTTTTCAAAACTAAATGGAGTATAAAGGTGGGTTACAAAAACATGAGTCAAGTCTCCAGTTCAGAGACAACGTGTTACATACTTTTATTTATTAAAGATACCTTTCAAATTGAGTGGAAACCTGAATGTCTGACCAAAGCTAAATGTGCAACAGAAATCGATGAACAGATCCCATGGCAGCCTGCTACCTCATTCATCAAAGTTCTTCTATGATAGAATTCCTGACCTGATGCTTCCTTTCACACTGAGTGTGATGAGTGAGAAGCCATTTCTATGAACCATTCCTGCCATCTGTTGTGACCTCTGGAATACATTTGCCACTGAGTACAACTCACTCAAAGAAAAGAGTTATCCATTGCATACTCAATTTCCATTCCCCACCCCCTAAACAGCAAATTTCCCGAAACATGTTTCAGGGAACTCTGCAAATGAGGATTCTGTTTGTCATGGATTAAAAAAGATTTGGGTTAAAATGAGAAAGAAAGCACCGAGTAACCAAGGTGCCCCACGGCAGGCTTTCTGAGAGCCTACATTATGTAAGTCACAGGGAGAAAAACTAAAACAAACATACACAGATTTGAGGCCCTTTAAGCCAAATAATGTAGAACTGTAATTTTTTAATAGAACATTTTCAGAACCAGGATACTATAGATAAATCAAAAGGAAAAATACTGATGGCATTTAACAATTATTCTATATATCACTTTAGCTTGGTTACTCGGTGCATTCTTTCTCATTTTAACCCAAATCTTTTTTAATCCATGACAAACAGAATCCTCATTTGCAGAGTTCCCAAAGGTAATTAAGGTACAGCAGAACTGTTAAAGGAATTTTCAGACCCTTACAAGAATTACTATAAAAATACCACAAAATTTTATCAAAATGGGGAGTGTAGCAGCTGTTAAGTCACCTGTCAGTTAAGTGATCTGTAACATGGCATACTTTGTGAACTTTCAGGGTTGTTGGGAAAATCTGACATTAACGCTGGGAACATGAGCAGTCTAGTTATTATTTCCTTACCTCAAAAGAAAAAAAAAAATGAAGAAACAACTAAAAATTTTAGCAATATTTATTTTGGGGATGAGGTAAGGCATACTAAGTGAGAAGTGATTTTCTTTTCCCTTCCACTATTTTCTTAATTTCCCAACCTTTCGAGGATGGGCATGCATTACTTTTTTCATAAATGTTTTAGTGGAATATAAGATACATATTACTTTCATAATCATAAAAAGTTTGCTCGTTAAAAACAATTATTTTTTAAAAAGGCAAATACCTGTTGTTTTGTCGTGTAATCTGCCAAGATGTTAAGAAGCTTATAAAACACCTCGAACCAGGGGAGGTAGCTGAGGAAGACAAAGAAACACAAGAAATGTTAGCATGCAAGTCAAAAGCCTGAATGAGAGCTTAACTCAAACAAAAACATTTCAGATTTTCTCTACATCCTCAAGATTCTAGCCATGACTGATATAAACCCAAACTACTTAAATGTTAATTATTTCTGGGTTATAAAAACATGCCTGTGTGAGGCAGAACACTAAATGTCCATTATGAATTATTCCTGTGCCTCAAAACTAGGTTCATAGAGAGGAAATTCAAACTAGAGTCTGCAATCAGGCACCATGTTTGATTAGCGAGGCTTCTCCCACCATTCCTATACTCTCTAGGAAAGCATCTATTCTATTTCTCATGACTGGACACACAGCAATGCACAGCATGTCCATTGTTGGCCTCTGTGTCCCACATGGCCTGTACAACAAAAACCAATCACGTTAGTCCATCAGATCTCCCACCTCTACTGCATCTGTGGTATACGGGCTGTAGCATGAATAGATAACTCTGTCCCCTCTGCCATCTAGCAGGTCCTGACCATTACTCCTCTTAATTCACAGGATGGTGTGCCAGCAGAGCTTACTCGTGAAATTGACCTCCTGTGTGGCTGTCAGAATGGCCTATCAAAAATGGAAGTCTGGATGGACCTTGCCAGAGAGGGTGAAGCTGCACAGGCAGCCAGTGATGTGCAGCCTGAGGTTTCTTCCCCCTAGCCCTTCTTGACTTCCTGGCACTCAACTCCTCTGATGACCAAAAAGACAAAGTGAACAGGTTGGTCTGGGGGTTAGGGGTGGCAAGCGTAGGTAGTAGACCTGGGGACCCTGCACCCCCAGCAGCAAGGACATAGACATTTCTCTGAGAGGGCACCTGTGGGCCCAGATCCAGTACAATCCGACACAGGCACCAAAGTCCAAGGAGGCTTGGTGTAACACCCAGTGCCAGGAGGCCACTTGGTAACCAAGTGAAGAACAAAGCCAAGAAAGGGAAAGGAAGAGATTTAGGCCAGGCCAGGATGTCAGAGCCTCTCGTCCTCCCTGGGAGCCCCCCGCCCTCCCACAGGTCAAAGAGATAACCCACTAGTGCCTTCTGTAGTCTTGTCAATCATGCCCAGTCTCTGTTCTCTCACTCTCCACACCAAGTGCCCAAAGTGGGGAGGGACAAGGGATTCTGGGAAGCTTGAGCCTCTCCAACGGAGGGCTATGATTCCCAGCACCCTCTTTTTGTTTTTTCCCCATTCTGATATCTGTTACTAATGAATAAATAATATTCATTATTATGAGTGAATAAAAGGAACTGACTTCCCCCCGCCCCCCCCCCCCCCCAAATACAAATCTACATAGCACATTCAGTTACTGTAGTGGCATCCCATTCCTACGGGAACCAGCAGTTCATGCTCCTCAGGAGGGCTTTTGTGGCTCTCTCTTCTCAGGATCTTGCCTGACTCCTCTTGCCCCTACTTTTGTGACCCAATTCTTTCTTTTCCATTGTGCTCATGAATACATGACTGTTACAATGTCCCCTCCTACAGCATAGCACTCAACAGCATGGTTTTTTTTTTTTTTCAACAGACTACACAAACAGAGAAGGGAGCACACCTTCCTTTGCTGTATTCAGCATCAAGACCAAAAATGGAGCTTGGCCCTACATTCTGAGTTCAGAGTTTATTGGGAAACACAAGCACATACATGCACATGCACACACACCTGCATACACACACCTAGATGAAGACTAGCAGATAGCAAGGGCCCTTAGAGTCATGGAAAAGTTAGTGAGAATTATCCCTACTCCAAGAAGTATACCCAGCCCCCACTTTAAATGCTTTGTTCTGTCTTAGGAAAATTCCCAAAACTACTGAGAACAGGCATGTGAGAAGCTTGCTGCTCGGGTCTGCTCACATTTATTCTGCTACGCAAATGGCGTTTGTTACTGATAGGCCTGGACCCAAGGCAGGGCCCAGATGTGACATCCTGCCCGGGAGAAGGGATCAGAACCCTGTACAGATTACTGCTGGACCACTGAGAGTAATAAATGAAGTGAGAGGTAATAGAGAGGACAGATAAAGTGCATAAGCTCCTATCTGTGACGTCTGTCTGAAGCCAGAACATGCTACTGTAAAATTTAAGTAGCTTATCAAAATATACTGATAAGCAACTTAACTTTTCACTTCTATGACAGTATTATCACTTATGTTAATATGTTTCCATCAGCTCTGGCAGCCACATATGGACTCTTCCAGAGCAAATGGCTGCTGCCACTCTCCACAGCACTAGCCCTGGCAGAGCAATGTAAACATTCAAGAGGGATTAGGCACGAGATAACATGCTCCCTTCCTCTTCTGTTAAATAAACCTTCATGAGCTAAAAGCCATTAGAGCAGAAGAAACGCGCTCCCCGCCCCCAAGCAAACCATACAGATTAGAGGACTCTCAGTAAACAAACCCAGCCTGGAAGAAAATACCACTAGGTAAAACCAACAACTGGGAGTCAGAAAAGAGGGAAGGGACAAGCAGGGAAGATGCAGAGGAAAGCAAAGCCCAGCTCCTTTTATGAAGAATACAGGAAGCAGTACAGTAGGGCTGCCTGCTTCTCTCGGGCTTTGAACTAGAGTGCATACTAAAGTAGTTTAGGACAACCAGTCAACTCACAGAGCCTGGCAAACATACTGCAGCCTCAGTAGCCTCATTTGGTGAGGACTGTCTGGCCCACAGAGCCAGCCCACTTCACTCTACCAGCTTCTGCCTCATCAAACCAATTCCTGTGGTTATGGTGGGCAGAACCATCGGCCATGGACTGCTTGGTAGTTAGTTATCCGGAAGCCGGGCATTTCTCTCTCCTTCTGGCCTGACCAGATACAACTGTTCCCCACACGTTGTCCCCTGTGTGCTGACAGATGAGTGCCTAGTGATGGCAGTGCTAGGGTTCTGAAACCAAGCTGCAGCTGTCTTCTCCTTTAAAGTGTCCAGCTTCCCCAGCTAGAAGGGCCATGGTTCACAGCTGAGCTCTGTCCGTTGGCACTTCCTATCCTGCTTCATTAGTGCTTGCACCCAGCCACACTACCAGGAGGCTGCAGGTGAAGACATGTAGCCCTCACTCCATCCTGTGCATGTCTGTCAGCAGTGAGAAAACAATGCTTCCCAGCTGACAAGTACCCTATCAGATAGCTCCTCCCTGGCCACCGTCAGGGTCTCAAACTGTTAGGTCGGGTATACTTGCATCTCCCTGCAGGAGAACACTATGTGGTGGACTCAGTCTAAGCACTAGGACTAAGATGACAAATGACTAGGAAGTTCTGGTCCAGAAAAGAAATGAACACAGGAGAGGGTGTCTAGGTGGGAGAAGCCAGCTATCCTTCCCAAGCACTGTTACTTCAGACTTTTGGAGTGACACAGAATCCTAATGGATCATTATCACGATCCCATCAGCAGAGAGGGAAAGAACAGAGGAGACCTGCCCCACAGCTACCAGCCTGGATCCACACACCTCTCACAGTTCAGGTAGCTTGGTCCTCACGTCAATAGGGAAGCTCTGTTTTGTGGGAATCCACAGAAAATCTTAAAGTTAAAAGAGTTGTAGTGCCACAGAAACCTCTCCACATGGCCTGATGAGTATTGTGGGCATGGAGGCAGTGCAGCCTGGGTTCCAGACATCATTTTAACAATAGCCCACTTCACAATGATCCTTAAATGGCCCTATGGTGCAGCAGTCATGGCCTGTATGGATATAAACCAGCTAGCCTGAGTGTCAGCACAGGCTGGATGAAAACCTTCCACTTTGCAACATGTCAGCTGGATGAGCTGCTCCCTCCAGAACTGATCTTAGGAACTGAGTCTAAATGAAGTCAGACTCTCGGTCTTCTGATCTCCCTTCACTAAATGGATGGTTAGGATAGCCATCTTGCTGAGGGATGTGTGTGAGATAGGATTATACGTCTGCATCCAGCTAACCACTTGAGAGAGAGAGAGAGAGAGAGAGAGAGAGAGAGAGAGAGAGAGAGAGAGAGAGAAAATGAATGCATGAATGGAAGCTGCAGCAGGAGCTCACGAGGGAGAGAAGGTGACAACAGTGCAGAAAGCTACGCAGAGCAAAGAGAGCATCTGGAGGCAGCCCGGTGCGGGAGAGAGGAGAGGAGGGCATCAGTACAGGGCAGCCCAGTGCAGGAATCATGAGAGGAGGGTACCAATGCAGGGCAGCCAGGAACTATGCAAGCAGATGATATGAGAAGGGTGTCTATGGTAGGAGGAGGTGACAGTTCCATCTAAAGTGTCAGTCCAAATAGAGTGAGGGAATGCAGCCATGTAGGAAGGAAGGTGTAGCAGAAGCCTGGTGACATACAAGGGAAGTGATCAAATAACTAAGCGTACAATAGAAACCAAGGATCTTGATATCAGACATGTGAATTAGAAATATGGTTAGAGAAGAAAGAAGAATGAATCCTGGTTAGATATGATTGTGAAATAATGGCATACAGAGATACAAATAAAAATACAAATGTGCACATTCAGATCACACCACACACACACACACACACACACACACACACACACACACACACACACACACAGTTTCTAGATTGAGTGACAGAAAAGGCCTGTGACAAGAGATGCTTCAATTATAATGGGCACCTTCAGTGCCTAGATGTGAACTTCCAAATAGCATTCTCTACTAAGAATGAGGGTTCTCTGAAGAAACGTCTGCTTCCACGGCCAGAGCTAAGAAATACTTCGTGCTGTAAGAAGCAAGGCAGTGTTCAACACATAGTCAGAACATATCAACAGGACACAAAAGTTGGTGAGAGGGAGCTCCTCTTTACTGACAGAATCTGTGACAATCTGAACATCAAAGCACATAATAACGAAGGGATTATATGGAGTCCAGGCAGATAAAAATGACAAGTAGAATATCTGCTGAGTGATGGGGCTATTTGCACAGTCTGAGAGTAAGTCTTCACAATCAAATTATCCATCACAAGGAAACAGACAGGAAAACCCTAAGGTTACAACCTTCATCAAATAACA